TCTCTCTCTCTCCCTCTCTAGCTCTCTCCCCCTCTCTCCCTGTCCCCCTCTCTCCCTCCCTCCCTCTTTCTCCCTCTGTCTCCTTCTGTCCCCCTCTGTCCATTTCTCTTCCCCTCTTCCCCCTCCCTCTTTCCCCCTTTCCTCTTCTCTTCCTGTCTCAACCATTTCCATCTAAACTTCTCTGGAGGCCTAAAGATAAAAGTCCTTTTGGTTATAGAAATTGATTTTTTAAAACCTTTCCATATTTCTTACTATTTACTTGACACTCGCTCTTGCACTGGATATCCTGTCCATGTAAATCCTATACACTCACCGTTTTATTTATTTCCATACTATTTCTCAAGCAATAGCTCCATTTTAAAGATAAATGTACTGGGGCACAAGAAGGCTAAATCTCTCAAAGCTATACAAATAGTAGAGCCCAACAGAACTGACTTTCAAAGCAAGTCTGTGATTTTTTTTTTTGTTTTTTGGGTGTTTTTTTGGCAGAACTGGAGCTTGAACTCAGGCCCTTGCACTTGCCAGGGAAGTGCTTATTCCACTGAGCCATCTCCCTGGCCCCAAGTCTGTGATTTTAGAGTAGTTGTTTTCAACTGCCCCACTCCAGGAGACTAACAATGTCTGGAGGCATTTTTGGTTCATGGGTGGAGGTCAGAGAGGGGCTGCTGCTAGCATGTGCATAGTAGAAGCCAGGAATGACCTATAGGACACCCCCAACCAAAAAAGAAATTGTCTAGCTCCAAATGTGGCTACTGTTAGTGCTGAGAAGCCCTGCCCTGGAGCAGTCTGTATAACTCCAGGGGTCATATTTCAACTGCTTCTGTAGTTCCTGAGGTGAAATGCCATTTTCCAATTTAGGATGGGATCCTCCTTCCATATTTTAAAAGCAAGCTGGGGGAAATTGGCTTCCTAAGAGGTGTATTTATTTGAAAGATGATGGAGTGATCAAATCAGTAGTAGTAGCATATCCATTTTTATTTTAAGGCAAAAGTGACAGCAACCTGTGAACTACTAAGGAGTGTTGAAACAGCCTTCGTTTTCACACTAGTCCAATGGACGATACTTTCTGAACAGTCTGTGGGGTGCTGATACAAAGGTGCTGGCGAGGAGGGTAGTGGGGTGCCTCGTTCTCTCTGAAGCTTACTGTGTACTCCCAATCAAAAGAGTAGGTTCTTATCTTTGTCTGAGAACAGAATTTGTCGCCTGGGCCACTCAAGAACTCAGGCCAGGTGTTCTTTAGGAGAGCAAAACAGCTACACACCTAGGACAGAAATACTTGTGTCAGGGCCGTTCTGTGGGGAGACTTAGATGCACTAGAGGGGAAAGTTGATGGGTTCTGTATAGCTTTGTTGACCACAGCTGACCACACGAGTGGTTACCAGAACCAAATCAAGAAGCCAATATTATGGAGTGTACCATTCTTTCTTGACTGTAGTCTCAGTAGGGAAGAGTTACGCATGCATTTTATCTTGGAAATCAAGAAATAAACAATGAAAAAAAATTTTTTTTTACGATTCTGATGTTAAACCCCAGGTCTCACATATGTCAGATTAGCTCTGTACCACTCAGCTATGTCCCCAGCAGACAGTTTTTATTCTGGTGTTTGTTATACCTAAGACCAGACCTTGTCAATCTATAAACTGATTCCTTCTGGGCACAATTGAAATTGGTAGGTAAATTATGGGAAGGGGTAATAGGAAGGAGGAGCCAAAAGGAGTTGGGTTGCTTTCTTAGGCATCCCTGTGAAAATGTTATTCGTATAGTCAGAGTGGCATCTTTTTGTCCATGGCTTTGGTTTTTAACTTATGCTGATGCACAGTGTATTCTTCATTAATGAATATAGATTTCTCTGCCTCTCTTCAGGAGTTGTGCGCTGTGGTTTGGATGAGGGTTGTTGAATTACACACCTGAAATGTTTGCCATCCTGTGGGATTTTTTTTTAAATATTTATTTATGTGTGTGTGTGTGTGTGTGTGTGTGTGTGGCCAGCTCAGCCCACCAGGGGGCGGGGCTGGCTGGCATGTGCCGGGGGATCTAACCGCAGTCCCTGTGCTCTGCCAAGCTTGTTCCAAGTAGGTGCCTAGACCACTGAGCCATCTCACCAGCCCCCATCCTGTGGGATTTAACCAAAGTTAAATCTTTTATTCCAGGAAGGGTCAAGAGGAATTAGTGACTGAGGAGTCTTGCTAGATCATTGGTTCATTCGTTTTTTTGCTGCCTGGCCAAGTTAGGTTCTTTGTGAAATGAGACATTGTGCTTCATAATCTCTATGAGCATCTCTGTGAGATTATATGCCATCAAGTAGAAACAGCAAATTAATAACTTCCGCCTAATTCTGCCCTCGGCAGTCTGCTAGTGAAGCAGCTGGAGGCTGTGAGCCAGCTAATTAGAAATGCTGTGTGTTTGAGCAATGCATCTAACTTGAAAGCTATCAATCTAGGTAATAAGGGTGTTAGTCAGAAGTAAGCATAAGAAAATAGGGCCATGACTAAGTAGACCATCAACCAAGATGTTTATTAGGGATGGGGGGAGGGGGAGGTGAACTCACAGATGCCTCAAGGGCTTTGGTGGGAGGTTGTGATGCAAGTGGAAGGGTAGGATACTTGAAGAAAGAGATCTGAACCCACCCTGGTAGGGACAGGGAGAGTGGAGGCAGGTCCAGCCCACAGGCAGTAACAGGCCTAGTTTGCCAGAGAACCTGGGGTGCCTGGGGTGGTTAGATCACTTGGAGACCTCTCTGTTTCCCAGTGTAACTCTTGATAATGTATATATTGTAAAGTTGTGCTCTGCTATTTCCAAATTTGTCCATTTGGTTACTTTTTGATAGTGATGAGTTTGGGCTTGACAATTCTGTTGCTCATTGTGAACATAGAGATGATGGCTAGATGTAGAAAGTGAACGTAAGTAAGGTAACAGCTCTCTCTGGAGGGCGAAGACAGGTGGGGTGGGTATATGGAAAAATACTATTTGGGAAAATACAGAGGGAAATGGTGCAGGCTTCACATTCTGTGGCTAGAGCTCCATTTTTATTTTAGGCTTAGTGTATTACAAATTGTGCCATCGTTTCACAGCGGGTGGTAGAGTGTGGGCCACCGTGGCCATTCTGGTGCCACATTCTACATTCAGATGTGAATCACTGGAGATGGTGTAAAGGAGCTGAACTCCTTTAATTTGAAGTTCTTTTGTTTGGTGGTTCTGGCAGGGGAATACAACTACTCCTCGACCCTTGGCCTAGGAAAGGTCTTTATCTGGGGAGGTGGTCCTCTTCTACTAAGCGTGAAGCTTCTGGAGGGACACACAGAGAACACTGAGGGAGGAAGGGACACCTCACCCACCCAGCCAGCTAGATCAGCCGAATCAACCCTGGTGATCAATGGGGTGACAGATGTCACAGCAGCCAGATGGCCCACACATCTTCAAGTTCTTTTCAATTGAGCTAGATTTGTGAGTACAGAAGCTAAGGGAATTTCTAGGTTAGTTCTCATGAGTGGCAGTGTTATTAGTGTTAGAGAGGCCTGAAAAA